CCCTTCCCCATTTAGCCCATCCCCCCTCCCACAACCCCTCCAGGAACCCTCTGTTTGTTCTCCGTATTTATGAGTCTCTTCTGTTTTGTCCCCCTCCCTGTTTTTAGATTATTTTTGCTTCTCTTCCCTTATGTTCATCTGCTCTGGAGGACACTGAGTTTTAGAGAGGGGAGGTCACTTGCCCAAGGTCACACAGTGAGTGAGTAGCAGAACCCACATTCCAATCCCAGTTGTCTGCCCCTGGACATCCACCCCTCCCCTTCCTAGTGCACGTAATAAGCACGCTCAGTAAACGGTGGCTCTGAACAGAGCCGCATCAGTCCCAGCAGCAGGTGTATTGTATGGAACCGAAGAGTAGTTTGGAACACAGTTGGTGACTGTGCTTCCAGGCTGACTTGTGTTCCTTATCCTCATTCCCTAAATTCTGTTGCCCTAGCGCCCTCGTTTGTGTGATGTTTGCTCCCCTCCCACTCCCCAGCTTTCAGAGCCTGCTGATGTTACCGGCGTAGTGAGTGGCTACCGGCTGCGACCTCTCCACGGTGAAGGGAGAACACCTCCGCCGTTTACCTTCGCGTCGTGCTTTGCTGACCAACTCCCAAAGCATGAGGTCAAGCTGTGGGCACAGCTCCTAAAGTCCTCCCGTCACTGGTTCATAGACTCTCCCTTTCTTCCTGCTCCTCTCAGGAACCATGCTGGGCTGCAGCGTCGATTCGAGAACACCTTGTCCCCTGAGATCACGGGGCATCTTTATTAACCTGCTGTAAAAGATGCTGTGAAAAGAGCGGTTAAGGGACACCTGGGTGGCTCAGTCGGTTGAGTGTCCGACTTCGGCTCAGGTCACGATCTTGCGGTTCGTGAGTCCGAGCCCCACGTCGGGCTCGCGGCTATCAGCGCGGAGCCCTCTTTGGACCCTCCGTCTCCGTCTCTCTCTGCCCCTCCCCACCTTGTGCCCTCTCGCTCAAAAATAAATAAAACACTAAAAAGACAAGAACAAAAAGAGTGGTTAAAGGGTAGGCTTCGGAACCCCCTGCTGGTGAACCAGCGAAGGGAATGGTAGTTCTTGAGCGCAGAGCGCTTCATTGTGTCTCATTTGTACCTGCTGTTAGGTTTAGCTGAGCGGTTTGTTACGGGTTTAAGAATACGGTTTCATTGCTCTTAATAAGAGTGGCTCATGTTTACCGAGCGGTTGCTACTTACCAGGATCTGTGGATGGAAAGCCCTTTGCATGCTTTGTATCATTCAATCCTCCAAACTAGCACCGTCCGATGGAACTTTTGCAAGGAGGCAAATGTTCTGTACCTGCACTGTCAGAAACCCCTGACCGCTCGCACGGGCTATTGAGCGTGTGAAATGTGGCCAGTGTCACTGAAGAACTGAATTGTTACTTGTGTCTAATTTTAACTAATTCAATGTAGTCCCATGGAGCTAGCAGCTGCTATACTGAACAGCTCAGCTCTCTCCCATTTTACAGATGAGAAAAAGAGAGTTTAAAAAAAATTTTTTTAACGTTTATTTTTGAGAGAGAGAGCACGAGCGGGGGAGGAGCAGAGAGAGGGGGAGACCCAGAATCCGAGGGAGGCTCCAGGCTCCGGGCTGTCAGCATAGAGCCTGAGGCGGGGCTCGAACCCACGAGCGGTGAGATCATGACCTGAGCCGAAGTCGGACGCTTAACCCACTGAGCCACCCAGAGGAAAAAAATGAGAGTTTAGTCGGTTGAGCAGTTTGCCAAGCAGTTTGCCGCTCCATAGCAGCAGAGCCAAGCTTTGGACCCCTGCTTCCTGCCCAGAGCGCCCACCCTTCAGCGCCGCGTTACGCGCCCTTTCTGTTGTACTTCCTGTAGAAGTTGTTTCCCGGTTGGCAGAATGTTGCCTAACTCATAATATATGTGTATGTGTGTAACCCACTTGGCAGTAAATGTGCGAGACTTACCTAACCAAAGCTCTGACACTTACCAGAGGATGTAAGAGGAGACCTGCATGACTGGGGGAAAGTTCCACGGCCCCAGATGGCAAGACTTAGTGTCGCAAAGATACCGTCTCCCCCCCAAATAATCCCAAGATTCAGTATAATTCTACTCCAAGCCCCAAAGGTAGTTGAATTGAAATTTGAATCCAAACGAATGTGCCAGGATAGTCAAAACAGTTTTGGAAAAGAATAGTCGGGGGGTGGGGTGGATTTGTTCTGCCCGTATCAAAATGACAAACAAAGTGAAAATAATTAAAAATCAGAGACTGGGGGCGCCTGAGTGGGTTAAGCGTCCGAGTCTGGATTTCGGCTCAGGTCATGATCTCACAGTTTGTGAGTTCAAGCCCCGCTTTGGGCTCTGCACTGACAGTGCAGAGCCTGCTTGGGATTCTCTCTCTCCCTGGCTCTCTGTCCCTCCCTTACTCTCTTCCTCTCTCAAAATAAATAAACTGAAATCGGAGACTGGCCCAGGGGCAGGCAATGGCCCAGTTAAAATAATCTAGAAAGGTGGCATATGAAAACCCAAATCAGGATGGGACCACTAATAATGTGGAAAATGAATTTTCCATCCAGAAAGTAATGAGGCTCGATTCTTACCTCATGCCATGTATAAAGTAAAGGTTTAAGCCTTAAAAAAATAATAATGAAAAGAAAAGAAAAGAAAGAAGAAGAAGAAACCAAAACTATAGAAGGATAAAAATACTTTTGTGATACTAGACCGGGAAAAACGGGAGACCGTCAAGAAAAAGATTGACCGAGTTGGCTCGGAAAACACAAAAGTTTCTCAATAGGATAAAAAAAAACCCCACCACAAGCAAAATTTAAAGGTCATTTGACCCTGGGCAAAAATAAGAATTCAAAGCAACACACAGGACTAAATCCTTCACCGGCAGAGAGCTGCGACAGACCAGCAGGAGAAAGAGAAGCAGACAAGATTGAGCAGCGGTTCAAATAGGCGGCTCACAGGAGAAGAAATAGGGACGGGGAACAGCTAATAAGGGTGGTCAGCTGCACTAGTGTGGGGAGAAATCCAGTTTAGAGCAAGCAGGTACCCGGGCGGCTGGCCGGCTCAGTCGGAGGAGTGCACGACTCTTGATCTCGGGCTTGTGAATTCCAGCCCCACGTTGGGCATAGAGATTGCTTAAAAAAAAAAAACTTCAAAAAAAAAAAAAAAAAAAAAAAAAAAACCCAAAACAACAATTAGGTACTGTCTTTCAGCAGTTGGACTGGCAAGAATTAGACTAATTGTATCCAGGGTTAGCCCGCACGGTGAGAGCACACATCAGTCGAGCATTTTAAAAGGTCTGCAGTTCGGCTGTGAGCACACACCGCACAGAAATAGCCACACAGAGATCCACGGGTGCTCACGTGCACGGATCCGGGGATCCACAGATGCACGTCACATGTGGCTTCAGAGAACGGGAGACAGCAGCC